ACAGTCGGCCTTTTGCGGCACAGTTTCGTGCAACTTTTCCTTTTGCCGCGTTAACTTGGATGTAATGAATGGCATAACGTGCCCCGTGCGTAAGTAGCTAGCGAGGAACAGCGGTCGCATTATAAAAATAGTTTGCAGGATACATAGTAAATGTGTGTATGTTTTAAGTCTAACGATTTGTTATATTAGTTAAATCCATTAGTGTATATGTGTTACTCATTTGATTTAATTACTGCTAGATGGCTAACGCTGACTGATTTTTGTCCTACGTATGGTAAAAATGATTTCCACCCCACCCCCCTTCTTCCATGTGTGTCGATCATTCACGTTATGCGGCCGTTCTGGTTTACAGCGGACAGCACGATGGCGAGCGACGGCAGACCCTCCTTAAGCACATGGTGCGATTCACGACAGTCAAACTTGTTTCGTAACAATGTTTGTTTCTGTGTTCAGGGGCGCATTGTGGGAATTGCAGTTTACCTTCAGCCACAACACCTTCGCCGGGCCCCACGCAAACCAGAAGCTGCAGTGAAACACTTGGGGGAAATGCACGGTGCCTTTGTGTACCGCTTAGTGTATTGGACAAATGGCATATTACTAGCTTAAATTTGCGTGTACTTGCATGATTTCATATGTATCTAGGCCTATAGTTGGTTTGAAATCATAGAGAAATCGTATCCGCTTTGCAGAGTTAATAAATTGTAAATTGCAGCATTATTATCTAAATAATAGGCAACCTCGAACAAAAGTATTGTCACAAAGGTTATTTGTAAAAAATGATATGTGGCATCTTCAATTAACGGTAATCGTCGGATCTGCGGCCTTAAACATGGAGTCACTCTTCATGTGATCGGATCTCGCAGGACATCCTTCCTCCATTTTAGATCTTTGTGTGGCGAAGCACGTGCGACGCTCGGTGCGGGAGATTCATGCGGCGGATCCCGTCCGGAAAGTCAAATATCGAAATCACATCGACAACCTCGATGCAATGTGTGGAGAAGATTCTATTAGTTTTATATTTAAATTGGTTTTTCACTGGATGGTCTTTCAACGACTACGGCAGTGAGGTACAATTTGCTTCACGACGGCGACTCAATCCTGGCGATAGTCGAGCACTGGCTTGGAAACAAGACTATGGCAACACTCAGGGTTATGGAGTGAAAGCAGACTTGTTGGTCAGGTGTTTGACAGCTTTGGACTGTTTGTAAAGAATTGTGGAGATTCCCTGTGAATTACTAGCTTTTGGGGTGACTTCTGCTTCTTGGTCCATGGGGAAGTGGAGATATTTTGCTAAAGTCACTTTTTTCCCCCCTTGTAAGGTCTTTAAAAATACAAACTGGATAAGGCAAAGGCTCAGTGTAGTCATGTTTGCAAGTCATTCTCTCCAATATGGTCTCCCTTTTGTATTCACCTTTTATTTTATTTTTTTCTCCCATCTCTTCCAGATCTGCGTTTTGCAACGAGTTCAAACTGGCGATCTGACCCCCCACTCGCCTCACGTGGAGGTGGACTGCACTGCGATCTGTCTCTCTTCTGCTAAGGTGCATCCAGTGTAGTCAGTATATTAGTCTAGAATCTACTGCGCTGGGTGCTCCTTCTGGCTGAAGGGACAGCATGGTCACCATGGAAGATGTAGGAAACCTTTCAGATGCCCTTGTCAAGGGGTTTGTGACCTTTTGGAGCGCACAAGCGATTGAGTCGTTATACTACTGGGCTGGCAACGGACATGAATTTGTGTTTATTGACTCTTCTACTGTCAATCAGTAATTTAGCAGTGTAGTTGAGATGGTGAGCTGACATTAACATTAAATTGTACAGCAGATTGTAGTGGCCATTACCAGTTCACTCACTGATGGTTGTTATTGTCACACATATAGCACATCTGTGAATGTCCTTTCACATTTTGTCTGTGCAGTCCCAAAGTGCTCACAGTGCAGGTAGTACTAAGTCAATCTACTGCAGTGTGTGCACTTCCAGCATTGCCAGGCGCCCTCTGCTGGCTGATATCATAGCTTTTTTTTTTCGTTGTAGTTCCACCGCCACCCTCCCCTCACGCTTAATTTTTCTGACGCACGGGGAGTTTTGCAGGTTTGCATCCAGCTTGTATATATTTTGCTGTGCAAATCCATGCAAAACTCTCCGTGCTTGAGACGGAACACTTCTGCCACTTTTTGTGCTGTACTTTCTGGTCTCACTGCTTTGGTCACATTGTCCCTTGTACAGCTGGAAGTGATTAATTTTTTTTCCAGTATCCTGTCCTGAAGATTCTCTCCATCCCCTGCAGTGAGTTATCTGCAGTCTGCCCTGGTGTCATGGGTAACCAGCATGCTTTTGTCTTGCTGTTTTCGGGTGGATGACTTTGCAATTTTGATTTGTCTTGGAGCCTAAAAAATTGCACGGTATCCATCTGTAATCCGCTAGATGTTTTGAACTGCTATGTGATCCTTTTGTTTTCAGGTTTTCTGTTCTATTTCCCAATAAAATTGTTTGAATAAATTATTAATATTCTTTGTGTGCAGTCTGCTATTAATGACTTATGGACTGGGTTGAGATCACGCCTTTGCACTTTTCCCCGTCATTGTACCTTTTGGAGTGGGGGATTTTGTAACAACGACAACCACCAGAGGGCAATCTAAGCACGCTCGTGACAGCCACCTGACCTTCCAGTTGAAATCGTATGGTATTAACGTCTGAACCCGTACTTAATTATCTGAAGTAGTGATTAAGAAACACCGCTATGAGGGAGAAACGCCTCTTGGAAAATGTCCAACCATTAAAACAAACTGAATTTCTTCAGGCTTATTTTGTGGCACAGCACGTAAAGCAAGTATCCTAGGGATAATCAGATCTAAGAAATTTGGTTTACCGGAGTGGAGTAAAAATTGTCTTCGACGATCTCGTTCGATTTTAATGTGATTTGCAGCATATATTTAATTAAATGGATGGCTAGGTAAATTTTTTTTGTTTGAATCCGTTAATGCCGGTGCTTGAACGAAAACAAGTGGTATACACAGCATTGACTTTGTCTTATGTAGCATCATGGTTGACTTGCAGTATGAGAAGAAGCATGTAGAATCTACTATGCCTATGTTACCCCAAAGCGACGTGAAGCACGTGCATTTTAAAAAAATCCGGTGTTCGACACTAATCAGGCTATTTCTCGATAACATCACTTTTTAGAAAATTAAGACCAGTTTGCGCACTGTACCTGTAATGTCTTTCAGAAATTTATCTGAAGTACGGTAGAGTAGCTATGCTCCCACGTCCAGAGAAACAATTATCCGTCCAATGCTGCATAATTGATTTGTTTCTCGGTCAGCGTGAAAGACCTTTTAACACCACGGCTCATTCTGTTTGGAAGGTGGTGGAGTTTGGGACACGAGTATTGGGATGATTAACATTCTTCTGCTATACTAAAGAAAATACGGATGTTTTAAGCAATTCAGGAATTTGACAGTCCAGGTTTTAGTCTTGCCTGTTGCATGACATATCAGTGTCCCGGAATATCGCTTTCAGCTCAATAATGTGGAAACCAGGTTTATTTATACTTTTTGAAATCAATGCGTAGGAGCTCAGTTGTTCAGCTATTAAAAAATAAAGCAGGTCGTGAACCGTCAAGTTATGGCTTGTTTCTGTGCTTCGTAACCCAAATCGGATCTTTTTAAAGATTAGTTAACTTTCCTTTAAATTTAATATTTATGCCGGCTCTCCAAGACAGAAGTTCTGTCTTGCGTGATTTACCTCCTGATTTATTCAATGAAGAGTTCCACGCAGAAATGTTGGCAGCTCTGCTTGGACACAAATCAGTACGAGTGGAGTACACTGGAAGATGTAAGTTTAGTTCTAAGCATCCTCAGCTGAGTGAAGTAATTCGACTGACGTGTTTTTGATTCTTGTGGCGCCCTAGGGGTTATTTGGATAAATGTTAGCAGGAATGCCGTTGATCAGTTGACACTGCGGAGGAATGGATCACAGCGGGTGGTCGTTGATAATATCATGCGTGTACTCCCGTTCTGCTGGAGCTGTACTTGAGAGAAGTGAATCCTAACCGCTTTCCCTTAATTATTTCTTTCAACGTTATCCCCCTATAATTAAAACTGGAGATAAGGTTGGCCTATCACTGGTGGACATCTTGCTGATTTGTCCCAGTGCGTTTGTAGATCTGAATTACTTTTGCACTTACCCGATACTGCTAAATATGCAGGCGTGGCGAAACAAAGAATATCGCAGTTTTATTTAATTTAAATATTGATTCTGTAAAGAATATGTGTTTCTGTTCACGCCAGTATACGGACGAGTGAGCGCTTGTTCGATGTCATTTTTATTACTAGAATTTATTATCCATTAGAAACGGTGTCATCTCCACTTTTTAGATGTAGAAAATACTCTCGCTCCACGACTTAATTATCCTAAGAGGCTTTCATGGCAATTAAATCTAATTATCTATGGATAAAGCAACTGAAGTAGGACAACTGAGCGTTTCAATTTATGTCACTTTTGTCCTTTCTGTACCCATACCAGTCGTAATGATCGATGGCGTGGCCGTGCGCTTGTCTTGAAGTCGTGCCAAGTAGTATAAAATATTATGTACTCTTATTTAGATAACGGAGCCCGTCGTAATATACACCTATACCCATATAACGCAGCTGCACTCTAAGCCTCCAGAAACAGAAGATATCGTTTTGATTTAAGGACTGAATAAATATACTGGCGGAAAAATGTACATTCTCCTCATTATATTAATTATACGTACCCTTTACGGTGCATTGCGTTAATTTATAACTAAGGAGCTAAAGTAAAAATGTCGGGATCTCGTGATAAAACGTTTATCTTGAAAAGAGCTAATAATGTAATAGCGTTTCCTTCAGGCAGTAAACACTTAAGCTTTGCATAAACATTTACGTCAATAATTTGTCTGCGCACGATGCTCAAGTGTCGGATCAATGAGCGCGCTCCCGAAGGCGACTGCGCGCGTACCACCCTGCGCTTTTCATAAGTCGCCCGTCTCCTGCGCAGCTAGTCAGTGCTCGGTGGCATAAGGGAAAAGCAGGCGCTTTTGCGAGTCCAGGCGAGTCCGCTCCACAGGACGCGCAGCCCGTCATGGCATGAGCGCAGAGCTGCAAAGACACGGGCATCTCGCCCCCTTTTACCAGTGCTGTCTTCCGCAAAGGCGTTTAGTCGGCTCATTGGGAAGCCGTGCGCTGGTGGCTGCGTTACCTTCGTAACCTCACTGCTAGAGCTGCGTTTTTTTTCTCTGGATGTAGAATATAAAGATGCAATATAAACCTGTGACTGAAGAAAAGATATTTAAGTGACTTTAAGTTGAAACTCTACTCCCAATGACTCGCGCCTCACCCGAAGAGTAGCCTGTATCTGGAGAGCTGAGTGTCCGCTGCAGCCAACTTAGAGAGACCGGCGGTATGGCAGGTGTGGGCGGCCCAGGTGCGCTGCTCCTCTGCGCGCTGCTCCTGCCCTTCGCCCAGCTAAGCGCCCAGGTGCCCGATTGCCAAGAGGTTCGTTCGTCCTTCCAACTTCTTCATCCGGGAATGAAATGGGCACCGGAGAGCCCTGTGTCAGGTAACTCCCCTTTTTTAACCGCTCCGATCTGAACTCCACTAGTTCTATTGCTGAAATACATTAGAAATACTGTTTAAAAATGTTTCGGTCGGATTCTTTTATGTTTCACACATTTTTAACAGGAGCCGGGAGATGTATGGATACGCAGTTAACAGTATCTCATGTTTTGTTTTGAAGTCAGATAATGGTGAATGTGCTCTTTTAATTTTTTAAATTTGCATGGCAAACAACTATATAGAGATAAGACGCTTGACATGAACGGATTGTTAAAAGGGAACTAATATAATTTCTACATTAACCAGTATGTCTCGGGCGTAGTTCCAGTTATTGGTTTGAGAGGTTTTTTTTAATGATAACTCAGTGGATGTCTTGTGACACAGGACTGAGGAGTTCCGAACATTTATTTTATTGTGGGACTGCAAACATAAGTCCACCAAAGATGGCTGTTTCTTGAACGAACTACTGTCCCCAGAGGTGAAGCCCCCGTCAGAAATGTGGACTCGGTTTTGGCGGGGCCAGAGTGTCTGCGGTGTCCCTCATCAGTCTATCCCCTAGTCCCTGGGGGGGGGGGGGATTCTACATAAACATAAATAGGCTATGTATTAAAATTCAGCTGCCTCTTCTCCACAATGGAATCCCTGGGATTTTGCTTCTCGGCACCCTTTTCTGAGTGCATTTTATTCCGTGGAAAGTAAATAGCTTCCACGGATCCTGTGGGGATGCTGAGCCTAACAGCCGACTTTAGCTTCCTTCTGAGGCGTAAGACGCCTAACCAGGCAGAAAGCCAGGCAGAGGAGCGTCCGGTCCTCCGGCAGGTGTGAATTACATTTCCTTGTGCCTTGCCGGTCTGGCTGACTTGTTTTCTTCTTCTGTTTTTTTTAATGCTCTGCTCATTTCCCAGTTCGCGGTGACAGAGAGCTTGTCGACAGCTGAGAATCTAACATGCCGTCGTTCCTCTCTAGGGCGAGATGTGCAGAAAGTGATCGCACTGCCTTTTGTAAAGTCTAGGAGGGCAGTGCACGCGTTAATGTAGCAGATTCCCGGGATGCGAGAATTGAGTGCTTTTGGCTTTATTTGCCTTTTAGAGTCAGTGGTTGAGGATATATATTTTTTTGTTTGGTCCTTATTCCAATTCACAGATTCTGGATGTATGAATAGCTTAAATCAGCACTAGTAGACTTCACATTGGGTTATATAGGGGAAAATAATCCGAGCTTTAATCGAAAGCTTTGGTACCCAGAACGAGTCTCTTCGTGCCCTGGAACGCGGCCTGGGAGTCGTCCTGGGGCTCGCTGTCTGTGGCACTGCCAGGCAAGCCACATGGCCTGACCTCTGGTGGTGTGCGCCCCCCCCCCCCCCCCCCCCCCCCCCCCCCTCCACCGGGC